TCTTCCCCCATGAAGATGGAAGGAAGGAGCTCCAGAAGACTGAGCAAAACTTTGAGCCCTTCTTCTGGACCTTCCTTGCAGTCTCTCCCACATACTGACTTCATATTGAAGCTTATATTGGAGCTGAAACTATTAGTAGAAATAAGCATCCTGACGGATTTATTTAATTTAAGCTCCACCTACAGCTGAGGTTTGAATTTACTCCATATTATGCACACTGCTGGCCAACAAATGGACTTCCAACAGAGCTACTGAGTTTGATGTCTGGGAGGGTTTGGCTTGTTTTTCACAGTTTTTCGTATTTCAACTTAATGTAACCCAGAGTACTAACCAATGTGTGTGTGAATGTAAATTTATGTGAATCAAAATTTGCAAAAGGCTTTGATATTCTCTTGAAAGCTCATCTTTGTGCCTGAACAGTGGAGTGCTAATCAACACAGATGATGAGTTAATGGCAGAGATTTCAGCTGGTGGTAGCACTTAAGAATGCACATGTTCTAGGATATTTCAGATAAGCTCTGTTGATATCCTTAAAATACAAGAATTATGTGACTTTAGAGGTTGCTAGGTGATTATAATTATGGCCTTAATAATGAAAATCAGTCTGCTAGTGATAATGTATTCTTGCTTTACAACACTTAGGTTCTAGCTATTTGTCAAAATGCATTCATAAAAAAAAAAACTAAACTAAAAATTTATACTGTATACACAAATATGCAAGAGGCATTTTTTTTTTTATTTTAACAAAAACTTTTTATTTAATGTCAGAGGTTTTCCATATGTTTGTATTCCAGTTTTTAGGTGCATTGGGAAAACAGTGAAATCAGGACAAGATGGAAAACATTTTTGCCTTCCACCATGATTATGACCAGTTTCACTCAGCATTCAGGGTACTGAGCAGACATACAATAACACATAACTGTGACTACTGATGAGATGACCTGTGAAGTTTGACTTCTTCGCATCAGTAGTCGGCAAAACTGAAAGAAACCACTTGTAATACAATGAAGAACTCAGTGGTGACATCTTTGGATATTTTTCTTCACATTCTGTGATCAAGAAATTGATGGTTTTTTGCCCATTCTTGGAAAAAATTCTTTGTTGCTGACGTAGCTGTCATCTCAAGTGAAAGCTTTGTTTGGAGTGTTCCACCACATTTCTCAGCAATTGTCATTGTTTTTTTCTCTGATAAATGCAAAAGTCCACGTCAGTCTTGTGACTTTCTATACCTTCATATTAATAATCTTACACATTTTGCAACTCAGCAAATTATCACTACAATGCATTCACTGAATCAGACATAAATCAGCTAGACAGGTTGCTGGGTAATGGTTTCAGCAACAGTAGCTTCTAATGTTCACCCTTCAGTGCTGCCCCTGGGTTTTTTATAGTGCATAAAGATAAGGACCCATTAGTGAGCATTTCTTATTCAACTTTCTGTTCTGAGCATCAATTAATTTCTTTCCAAATAAAAAGTATCTATTTGGAATAAAGTTTCCTTTGCTGTAAAGATTGACACCCGTTTATGTTCTGTTGATTTCTGAGCACAATTCAAATTTCTCTTTTAAAATGCAGTCATAACATTTAGAAAAGGAGGATCACTGTCAATATGACACATCACTTTCTTCCTTCCCTTCTTCTTGCACTTTCAGCAAGTCCTTAGCAAAAACCCTGGTGGACCCAGCTGAGATGTTGACAACATCTCCATGGTCATCTCCCATTGGATTCTTCCCATTGGTCTTAAGCGAGGCTTCAGCATCTGCTTGGTTGTGGTTTTTTGTTGGTTTTTTTTTTTCCCCAAATCCTACATGTCTGCAGATCTATATGAGCTAAGACAGAATTATTCTGAGGTCTCTTATTTGTACATACAGCTGCTAAAGGCTTAGCAATTATGCAGTTCTGACAGGCATTGCTACCCTGAAGGATGCTAATGCCCAAGATAATCCTTGGAAACCCCTTAGGTATTTTTTTGGTCTTTTCTCCAAGTTTTGAGGCAACCACAATGTGTACAATTCATCTTTTGATGTCATCTCTCATTGTTAAAGCTGCTTTAGGCAAAATTACTCCGTTGCTTTTTAATGAGCCTGTGGCAGCTACTTTAGCACTAGAGATATTTTGCAAGTTTACCTATCAGCAAGTTATCTAGACACACACAAGTTTCCTGTTGCTATCACAGAGGATGTTTTTGTTATTTTCCTCTAAACTTGGCATCTGGATCATGAGGGAGTGTCGTGGTTTAAGCGCTGTTCTCAGACTAAAGGCAAAAAAACAGCACTGCACCAGCTGCTAAGAAGGAGAAAAATAACAGCTTTATTTTGTAACATTTATATTGTAACATCTTTGTAACATATGTACCATTTATTGTAACATTTATTGTAACATTATATTGTAACATATGTTGTAACATTTAAACGTTACAGCTGAACCCAGGACACAGAGGTGCCTATTGGTGAAGCCTTTTATTCATCAGATTCCCTGCGGCCTGCTCACTGGCGCCAGCAGAGGTGTGGGAGCAGGTATCCTCACCAGCTTCAAGAAGCAAAGACTTTTTTTTATGCCAAATAAGCACAAACAGCAGTTGGTACATTACATTTTCTGTTTCAGAATATGTATCTCTCTCACCGTCTTGGAGTGGCCCCTTTTTGCTCACTTGTCGTGGTTTAAACCCAGCCAGACAGCTTGTTCACTCACTTCCCCCCTTCTTGCCCTCCCCCTACTCCCAGAGGGACAGAGAGGAGAATCGAAAAGAATGCAACTCCCACGGGTTGAGATAAGAACAGTTTAGTAACTAAGGTATAACACAAATCACTACTGCTACCACCAATAATAACAATGGTAAGGGAAATAACAAGGGAAGAGAATACAACACCTCACCACCAGCCAACCGATAACTTGCTCCCCCCCCCAGCCCGACCAAGCACCGATCGATACCTCCTCCAACCCTGCAGACTCCCAGCCCTTCCGGCTAACTCCCAGTTACATCCTGGGCATGACGTGCTGTGGTATGGAATACCTCTTTGGTCAGTTTGGGTTCCCCTCCTCCCTGGCAGAGCATGAGGCTCACAAAATCCTCGGCCAAACCAAAACATCCTTGTCATCCACTCTGTTTCCGAGCTGAAAGTCAAAACACAGCGCTGCACCAGCTACCAAGGAGAAAAATGACTGCTACTGCTGAACCCAGGACATCACTTTAGCATGCACGTAGCAGCAATCTCAGTGATAATGAGCCTCTGTGTCAGCAGACAATCTCTCAGAGCAGTAAGGATCTTGTTCTTTTTATTTGCTATAGCACCTGGCACTTGTATGTCTGCAGCTAGCACAACACACTTAATTAGCACTGCACACATACCTTACTTTATAAAGTACCTGCTTGGTTTTGGAGGAAGATTGATTATTCTGGCTCTCATACTGTTGCTTAGTGATTCCATAGATGTTTCTACATTCAGTCACTGTTGTCCTAGAATCATAGAATGGGTTGGGTTGGAAGGGACCTTTAATGGTCCAAGGATGACCAAAGCCCCAAGGATGACCTTGGACACTTTCAAGGATGGGAAATCTACCACCTGTCTGGTCAATCTGTCCCAGTATTTCACCACCCTCATCGTAAAAAAAAATATCTTCCTTATATTTAGTCTGAACATACCCTCTTTTAGTTTAAAAACATTAATCCTTGTCCTGTCGCTACAGACCCAATCAAAAAGTCTCTCCTCATCTTTTTTATAAGCCCCCTTTAAGTACTGAAACTCTGCAATAAGGTCTCCTTGGAGCATTCTATTGTCCAGGATGAACAACCCCAGCTCTCAGCCTGTCCTCACAGGAGAGGTGCTCCATCCTTCTGATAATATTTGTGTCCCTCCTCTGGACCCACTCCAATGAGCCTTGCTCATTTGTCACAATTAGCACACACCAGAAGCCCTAATTTTTCCCACTGTAAGAAAGCCAAGGCATTTCTGAAGCCCCTGCCTGTGTATTATTGCACCCATTCTCTCCTTTGGTCACAACCAGGTATGGAATATGATTGCAGAATTGGGCAACTCTCAGAGTTTGTATCAATATTTAACATGAAGTGGCATTAGGATTTTCTGTAACTGTGTAAATTGTAAAGGTCTTCTGTGCTTACTTGGAAGGGAATGGACAGGCTCTCTATTTTATCTGCTTCGCTTCACAGAGATGACATTTACACTTTGGCAATAAAAACTGTATGAGCTGTAAAATGCAGGAAAAGGAAGAAAGTCAGAACCACCATGTATACCATGTATTGAACAGCCTGGTCTAGCGGAAGGTGTCCCTGTTCATGGCAGGACATTGGAACTAGGTGATCTTAAAGGTTCCTTTGAACCCAAAGCATTCTATGATTCTATCAAGGCCTTAGTTCTTCAAACCTGAAGCGTATCTTAATATATTTCATGTGTTTCAGAGCAGTAATAGTAGCTAAGTACAACCAAAATTGGTATTTGGCAACCAAGTTATTATTTCAGGCATCATCTTTGGGAAGATACTTTCATGCAAAGGCTAACCCTTCATTTCCCAGCTCATGGACAGAATGCAACTTGATTCTAGTGCAAGGTGGAGCTTCTATATTGCTGTAGCCATTGACACACTAGCTCCATGTGTGTGCTCCTCTTGCGCACTCATTGCTAGCACGTTTTATAAATTTCAGTAAATAAACAAGGGTTGGCGAGTGCAGGCTGCTAGGTCTGCCGCACCCTGCAACAAGCATCTTTTGCCACCCCTCCGCATCCTGTCACTTTCTCGTGCACCCATGACAGACCGGTACCCAGCCGGGCACAGACAAAACGTGCACTCGGAAGCAGCGTTCAGCCGCCCTCCGCCACCGCAGGGGTCTCTCACCGCCCCGTCGGGCTGGGCCGGGCTGGGCTGGGCGAGTGGGACAGCTCCGGAGAGGCGTGGCTAAGGGTTACCCCGCCTACCTTCACCCCAAACCAGAGACTATTGGTGGAGGTGCCGCGGGTTCCCGCCCAGGGGCGGGGCCGGGGCGGGCGGGACGGCGGGGTGCTGTCCGCCCGCCACAGCCCAGCAGGAGCTTTTGCTGCCGCCGCGGAAGGGCGGGATGGAGACAGGGGCGAGGACAGGGCGCAGCGACATGGCCGGGAGATACGACGTGGTCGTGGTCGGGGGCGGCATCTCAGGTGGGTTCGGGGGGGCGGCGCGGTCCCCGGGCATCCTCCGGCCTTCATAGGGGCATCACTCCAGTGCTCGGGGTCGGACCCATCTCGGCTGGACGGCGCGGGGCCGGAGAGCGGTGGGGCAGGGGTGGCTCACTCCCACGGCTAGCTGTAAGGTTTAGGCGATGACTATACAGGGTGTCAGGTCCCCAGGGGCGTCAGCTACATTTGGGGAAATAAAAACATAACACAAAGGGGGGGGAAATATCCCGGTTGTTATTTTATCACGTGTTTGTTGCTGCCTGCGCTGGTTTGTACTTCGTGCTCATCAGAAGAGAGTCTGTAGGAAAACTGTCCACAGGTGCGGGAGAATGCAAGGATACAGGCTGGGATTTTTGCATCCCGAGGAAGATGGTGTTTTGAAATTGTGGGGTTTTAGGTTGCTCTTGCAGCGCTGGCAACTGTATTATTTTGATAAATGCTGCAGAAGGACATCTGGAATAGCTGTAAAAACACGTTAGGCTTTGTTACTGTGACAAGAGCTGGGCTACAGCCAGCTAAATTCTCCCAGTGCGATGGACTCTTCACACTTTGCTAGGAAATACTTCTCCAAACGCTCTTCAGATCTACTTTTAACACTGGCAAGGTACATTGTGACCGCTGATTCTCATGCTTAACATGCCCTCACCCCCCACCGCAGAAATAATTATTCTTATGGCACTTAACTGTGCCTAGAATGAGAATGGTGCTATGATGGAGAAAATGTGTTTCGTTTGTCAGTTGCATAAGTACTGTGTTAGCGGCTTTGGCCAGGATTCAGTTTTCAGAGAGTCTTTACTTCACTAGTGATAACTGTGAGCTATGTCACTTCAGTGATACTACAACCAGTATGGCTATAGGTAAAATGAGTTTTTATTAGAATTGAGGAGTTTTCCTTTCTTTAATCTACAGTGAATTAATGCATAAAACAGCAAACAGTTTACTTAATTACATTATATAATTTGGTAAAATGATATTAATTGTTTATTATTTGTGACAATATAATTATTTAAAAAGCTGTAGAAAGAAAGAGTTTGTACATAGGTTTGCTTGCGTTTTTCTTTTATCAAATGCCTGGGTATTTTTCTGCTATCATGAGTCATTGGGTCTTCATGTTTAGGGTTCATGTAACAAACAGAGTGCCCTTAGGAAATTATCACCCTGTACTGTGTGCAGCTGATGGTGGTGTGAACTTAATGTGGTTTTTAGGGCTCTGAGAAGCTCTTTTTCTCTTGCTTCTCCAGCTTTTCAAACTGTAGCAGTGATTTGGAAAACACATCGAGCATTTCTAAGTGATATCTTGCTTCACTAGTACAAGAATTAGGAAGTTTCTTCAGAACACTTATGCCTTGGACTAAAGCCTGGTGTGGAGTCTGAAATGTAGCCAACCAGGAAATTCCAAGGCGTTGCAGTCTCTGAAAATTTGTCAGTGGCATTAGGAACACAAATAAACATGTCATAGCACTCTTGGAATACAGGAACATTTTTCTTACCAGTGGAAACCCTTATGTCACTCCAGTAACATAAAAATTGGTGTTTGACTGTTATGAATTACAACTGGCATCATTTGAAGAGAACAGCCTTAGAAAAATGGACTATAAATGCCTTATTTCATAATTAATCTATCTTCAACATATAATACCATTCATAGCTGGGCATTATAATTGCTACCAGCTCCTGGTTTGTTTTGCTTTTTACACAGCTTCTCTGTCTCCACTGTTCCTGTACCAATGTACCTACACCTCAGCTCTGTAAGAGGTTATACAGCGCTGCTTTCTGGTCTTAAAAAAATGTAATCTGTATCCAGAACTTTGTGACTGGTGAGATAAAAACCATGCTCCGGTATGGACAGGGTTTCACCTTAACATGTCTCTGACTCCAGTCTTGACTTGCTACTGCTTATTTCCTTGAAGATCTACTTGAAGTTGTCTTATCTGCTAAGATTACTACCTTCTCTCCTTCTGCTGTATTTTAAATCCTCATGACCTGATGTTTGCAAGAAAGAATGGAAAACTTTGGGAAAATCTAGTTATTTACTAGAAATAGATGAAATCTGCATCAGGTATAAACAAGGTGCTTGTTAATATATTAACTGTGAACTTCCTAGCAGTGAGATTGTGGCTTTAAAAAATAGTTGTACAATATTTGCAAAATAAAGCTCAAATCATGACTGGCACCTCTGGAATTATCTATTCCTCAACACGAAGCGTGTCCTTGAGAACAAATTTCTGTACAACCTAACGCACTCTTCTCATCTGTGCTCCTCTCCTCTGTATGCACACATCTGTCACTCACAGCGACACAGAATCAAGTCTGCCTGTAGGAAGCTGCACTCTAGGGGTGGAGGAAGCTTCTGCAAAGTGTGCTTCAGAGTGGGGAAGCCCTTGGAAGAAGAACTCATTTCTAGTAGACTCTACTGCTGATATTTTCCTGTTGTACTCCATGGAATCATGTTCAAACAGCCCACACTTCATTAGCAACTACATTTGGACCCCTTCAGAGAGGGAGCTGCAGAATTTGGGCTAGATTCCTCTTCTCACATGGGTGCACATGTTGAAAATGTGGATCATGGCCAGGAAAGGCCCCAGGCACGTTTGTATTGTTTGTAATGGATAATGTCCCCTGTAATACAGTTAATATTAGTTATAATGTTTTATACAGTAGCATATGAAAGAAACTGAAGCTTGAAGTTTAAGACTTTCCCAATACCCACAGGGAATTATTACCTGTATGCCTTGAATATTTCTCCCATTTTCTACCTATAGGGTTTTCTACTGAGCTGAAGAGGGTATTCTGGTTTGGATTGATTTTGACCTTTTGCTTGTATAGTTTGGTTTAGGCTATTAAATTCCCTCATTTGTTAAACACAGCAAGCTGACAGCGCATGGTGTGCCATGGGTGTGTGGCTGCTTAATCAGCAGGGTCATAACCCTGACATCCCATCAGAGAATCCTCTGCTGCTTGGGTTAAGGGGCTACACTAATTGAGGACTAGGACATTGTCATCCTCTATGTTGACTAACTACTGTATGGATGGCTTTCAGAAGCTGTCCCTTTTATGCAGCAGATCACTGCTATAATTCTTCTGACGCATTGTCTGCATCTCAGCTGTCACCTGCACCTGAATCTAAGGCCATGGTTACAGGGAGATTTATATTTTGGCTCCATAGCCCTAGGATGGAGTGTGCACAAAAGCTCTGAGATCTGACATCAGTTACAAGGTCCAGGATGCTCAGTCACTCCTTGGGGATTGATTGTTAATGACTGGTGAGCATTAAGTGCTCAGAGAGTTTGACAGAAACCTTAGATATTTCAGCTTTTCAGATCTAGGAAGTGGCTGCTGCCTGTATGTGATCTGCAATTCCTCACAACTTTGTAACTGACCCTATTGCAGCATATTTTCACATGGATAACAAAATGCGCTATGATGACTCAAAGGCTATCTCCTTGCCAAATTTTAAGTTGCTGCTAGAACTTCCAAAATAGGAATAAAATAAAGACATGAGTTTAGAAAATCAAAAAAATGTTTGTTTCTTGAAGGTTTAGAAATAGCCAATTTTGACTAAGATTTTCCAGCAAAGAAAAGAATCAGCCTGAAAAACACACCCTGAAAAGTCTGTCTTAAATAATTCAAAACCTTGCAAAAATAGAGTGGAAGCAAAATACCCTAATTTGTTTCAGTGGAAAGTTTGGGCTATATTTGTGCACCAGCCTCACCTTACACATGAATTTTGGATACTGGGAGCCAAGTTTATCAAAAGAAGGCAAGGGACGTTAAGAATGTTTGTCTACATAATGCAAAACAGAGACATATTACAAATGGAGAACAATGTCCAGAAGCAGACAAGCCCAAGAAAACTTGTATACAAATATCTCTTGGAAGACATTTCAGCACATCATGAAACAGGCACAAAGCACTAGGGAAACACAGTCATCGCTGAAACTTATGCTGAAGATTATAATTCTTTGATATAGACAGACTTCATTTCCACATAAAACCACATTTGCTCTTAGTTAGAAGCAAGGAGATCTCATGGCTCAACAAAACAATGCTTAGATTTGCCAGCCACATGCAGGAAACAGCACTGTTTTCTGTTGCACTTAAGGAGTCCAAATGCCACAAATTGTAGGAGAAGCTGTGATGTAAAAATAGTAACAATTAGTCTTATGCTGAAATAAACCGTATGACACCCTATTATAGTTGTGGGGGTTTTTTGTTTGTTTGTTTTTTTTTGGGGGGGTGGGGGTTTTGTTCTTTTTTTTTGTTTTTTTTTTCTCTCCAAGGAAGGGCACTATGTGTTGCATCTCCTGCTCCATGATGTGAGATTGATGGGATGTGAGATGATCAAGAACCTTACCACTTGAGCTACTCACATTGGCTGAGGTCTCTGAGTGAAAGAGTGAAAAATAAGGAAATGCAGATTTTCCTTGCTTGCTATAATGGCTGCTCTAATGGCAGCACAACTTATGTTGTATACCACTTTGTTTTGACAGCATGCTGTGCTGCTAGTGGGTGGTGGTATCAGTTAAACTGTCAAATACACAGTTGTTGGTAGAAGATGCAATCAGTCCCACCTGTGCAAATCTGGATCAGATTTCAGTAGATTTTTCTTTTGTTTTGTTTTGTTGGTTTTTTTTTTTTTTTTTTTTTGGTTTTTTTTTTTTTGGTTGGTTTGTTTGGTTTTTTTGCATTGTTACTTCTAAATTTACCAAGAATTTGACCTGTAGAAATGCAACACCTGGTTCCTAAAATCAATCCTGTGTTTGTCTCTTTACATCTGCCCTGTCCTGGACTCTGGCTGCCTGATTCCTTACTGCTTTCTTACTGGATCCAACAGGAAAGCTGGTAATCAGTGATATTGTTGTCACTGAGTACCAGAAATTCCTGCATTTTGGGGGATGAAGAAATAAATAGTAATGTTTCACAGAGCTCTTGGTTCCCCATGAACTGCTAGGAAGCTGACTGGCTGACTGTCATTACCAGAA